GAGGGGGGTTTGTGGCAAAGAGAAAAGGATCGAGGATTAAATATTGGGGGGACAATCCCAGGGGGATCACTGTTGGGGGGGTTTGGCAAAAGGAAAAGGATCAAGGATTAAATACTGGGGGGGCAATCCTAGGGGGATCACCGAGGGGGGTTTGTGGCAAAGGGAAAAGGATCGAGGATTAAATATTGGGGGGACAACCTCGAGGGAATCCCTGGGGGGGTTGTGGGAAGGAAAAGGATCAAGGATTAAATATTGGGGGGACAATCCCAGGGGGATCACTGGGGAGGGTTTTTGGCAAAGGGAAAAGGATCAAGGATTAAATATTGGGGGGACAATCCCAGGGGGATCACTGGGGAGGGTGGCAAAGGGAAAAGGATCAAGGATTAAATACTGGGGGGACAATCCCAGGGGGATCGCTGGGGGGGTTGTGGGAAGGAGAAGGATCAAGGATTAAATACTGGGGGAACAATCCCAGGGGGATCCCTGCGGGGGTTGTAGCAAGGGGGGAACGATCTCGGGTCCAAGGCTGAGCACTCAATCCCGGATCCGATATCGGGGAGACCCTCTCCTGGGGGGATCCTCCCGCTGCCAGCAGCGCCTCGCCAAGGGTTAACGCGGGCGGGGGTCCGCGGGGCTGAGCCGCGCTCGTCTCTCCGCAGGCCGGCGGGAGGAGGAGGAGGAGGAGGAGGAGGAGAAGAGGAGGAGAAAGAGCAGCAGCAGCGGGAGGAGGAGGAGGATGAGGCCGAGCGGAGCGGCGTGAGCGAGCCGCGGGCTCCTGGCCAGGGCTCGCACGCTCCAGCGCCGCGTCCCCGGCCCGGCCCGGCCCCCCCGAGCCGCCGGAGCGCGGGGGGAGCGGCGGCGCTGGCGGCCGGCCCAGCCCCGGCTTCCCCGCCTCTATATAAACACACATTTGACTTTCTTTTGCCTCAAAGCGAACAGTGCAGAGGGGCTTTGCCCAGCAGCCCTGCCTCCCTTTTTTTTTTTTTTTTTTTTTTTTTTTTTTTTTTTTTTTTTTTTTTTTTTTTTTTTTTTTTTTTTTTTTTTTTTTTTTTTTTTTTTTT